CTTTGCAGCATAAGGGCAGACACTACAATTTCAATACAATTTAATACAGGAGGAATTGGAGGGCCCAGCTTGTTAGAGCTTACAATCTAAGAGGGAGGTACAAGAGGTGATAACTATGGGAGATGGGCTGATCATGAAAACACATGTACGGTTGTTAGGTAGGGGCAGGATAGGCCCTTCTGAAGAAATGAGTTTTCAGTGATTGATTAAAAGTGGAGAGAGTAGTAGATAGTCAGACACATTGTGGTAGGGAGTTCCAGAGGATGGGAGAGGCTCTGGAGGCGAGCTTGGGAGGTGGCGAGGGAGCTGTGGCATGCTTTGTAAGTTGTATCTTGCATTTAATTTATTGGGAAATCAGAAGCCAGTAGAGGGATTGGCAGAGAGGGGTGGCAGAGGCGGCATGCTTTGGCCAGTGATTGGATATGGGGCTGAAAGGATAGTTCAGAGTCCAGGATTACACCTAGAACCTTGGCATGCGGGGGCGGGTTGATATTTGAGCCATTGATTTTGATGGGGATGTCAGGGGAAGGGGCACGTGGGGGAGGAAAACCATTGTTCAGACCCACAGACCTCTCCATTAGCCCAATGTACTTGCATGTATACTACCTATGGGGAAGCCTGAGAACAAGCTGGACCTCAATAGATGCTGGTATCATCAATGACATGCCTCCGTTTATATATTTAGCTCATGTCACTGTTTTGTGGGGCATTGCATGCACACATTTTCTTGCTATTCTTGCGGAGTTTCAGGTTATACTCTTTGCTGGTTCAGGCTGTGTAAATCTGATTAACAGATTGGTAACATACCACTGTCAGACTGTACTTGGGACGTATAATACATTTTTGCTTTTGGGTTTAATACCGCTTTAATATTACACAGCTGGTCTTCTCTGCTTTGGTCAGGAAGAGGATATACATTCTACACCTTCTCTTATGGTCGAATCACTTAGACCAACTTTGGTCTACATTTAATTATGACCAAATCAAGAATTTTACCTTATTGCAGTGGTTAGATCTATCCAAAGGATCTTCCTTTTGCAGTGACTTCTTTATTTTTTAATACAGAAACTTTTCTATTAAAAAATATTGACATTACAAAAAATAGGAGTATGGTAATGAGAAGGAAGAAGGCATGGGAAATAGGAAGGGAGACCGTAAACTTGATAAGTGTCCAGAGGGAAACAAAAGAAACCATAAACCGCACTGATTCCATACATTAATCAGTATGAGGTTCCATGCTCACTGGCTTAAAAATCACTGCTTCTATAGCAATTTTTTGTGTTTTGCTTGTAGAAGCAGCTCAGTGTCATCCTGTGTGTCCATGCACATTAGGATGATTAAAGGCATACACTAAATTGCTGGGGTGTGGAAATTTAAAAAAAACAACTACTTGTCCAGGGACTAATTTGGTGCTCCAATCTATTTGCCCCTCATGAAATCTACTTTTTGTCTTGATAAAAAAAAAAATGTTTTAACCAAAACCTTATATAAACCTGCTTTAAGTGATGTCTGGGGCTTTTAAAAACAAAAAGGGGCTTTATGGCGACTTAAAGGTTTAATATTTGTATCATTGCTCTGTTTATCTCTTCCTCCCCTCCCTGTTTGTCTCCAGCACCACACCAGGGAGTAGCAGGGAGGGGAGACACATTTCACTGTAAAGAGCACTGATTGGGTGCTATTAGGAAAGGGGAATGTTGGGCTTATCCTTTATGCCTTGCGCTGCTAGAGCTGTTTTTGTGTTTTTTTGCACACGTTTAAAAAAATCATTTAAGGCCTGAAGATTACACAAAACTCAAATATATATTTTCTGAAATTGGAGACCCTAGAGCAGGGGTCTCCAAACTTTCTAAGCAAAGGGGCAGTTTACAGTCCTTCAAACTGTAGGAGGGCCGGAATGTGGCCAGTAGGAGTAGAAAATGTCTTGGTGTCAGTGAAAGTAAATGGTGTCCACTTTTCGGTATTAGGGGGAGAAATATTGCCCCATTGTTAGTGAGAAGAATCATAACCCATCCTTGGTGTCAGTGAGAGAAATAATGCCCCATTGTAGGTGTCAAGAGCAGGAATTGTCTTCCATTGTTGCTGACAGTGGGGCGAAGTGGCCCAAGGGCCGGGAAAAGCAAAGGGCCACATCCGGCCCTGGGGCCACAGTTGGGAGAAAACTGCCCTAGACAATAAAATAGCGATAGATCCAAATTTTTTGTGTCACACGATATTATCACAAAGGTCTAGGAAACTAAATTTCAGTAAAAAATACTCAATTTAATTTTATGGCACAAAAAGCAATAAATTATCCAATTTGTTTGTAAAATATAAGACGGGGTTGCATTGAGTAAATAGATATCCAACATGTCAAACCTTAAATTTTTGTGTGTACTTGTGAAACAGCAATAAAATTTAGTACCCTATATATTTTCTATAGGTGATGCTTTTAAAGCCGCCTCAGGGATGTGCAAATCATATCGCCCGACTCCTGGGACATGCAATTACGGGCACCGGACAGGTGGCTTTTGTTTACATTTAGCCCTGCTGTGGGCAAGCAGCAGGGTTTACTGCAGCCCGTCCCCTCTTCAGTGTTTTCTTAGTATGTTAGAAGCTTCCTCAGCCTATCCTCTCTGCTCCCGGGCACTGGGGCGGATTGTACTAGAGGAGGTGGGGCATACACAGTACATACACTTGTAATAGGCAGAGCAAAATGTCTCCCAGAAACCATTCACTGCTCTTGTCATCATCAGCCCTGCCTTCCTGTGTCAGACCCACCCCTATAGCAGCGCCTATTTGCAGAGACTGAGTGTCAGCCAACCAGACGATAGCGCTAAGGGGGCGGGCGTGACGAGGGATCTCCAGCATGGTGCCATGCGCTGTATGGAATTCCTAAGTTCTGGAGTGATCTGTAAGATGCAGCAGCAGAAAACAGGCAGGTGTCCAACTCCAGGCCTGTCCCATTAATTTCTTCAGACCTCAGGGTGGTGCCCCCTCCAGGTTCACCAACAGTCTAGCCTGCACAGGTCAGGAGAGGCCATGATGGCTTGAGGGAGGAGGGATGGATCTGGGCTCAGCCTCATCTGTCAGCACAGAGCAAGCTGGCTGGGATGTGTTCTTTTGGGTGGATCACAGATTGGTGCACCTTCCAGAACTTCCCCTAGAAGTCCTATAGTCTAGAAAGCAGTAGAAACTTCTATCACCAATACTGACTTCTAAAATGTCAGTATAGATACACCCCCTCCCTGCAAGCAGCTTCAGTGCAGTCATTGCACCATGAAACCCATAATGTGTGGTGAGGAGGACATCTGACCGTGTCTGCTGTGTAAAGTTTTTTTTTTTTTTTTTTTTTTTTGTGCTATATTTCTGGTCTAATAAAGTAGAACTAAAACATTTGTTTTTTTTTTTTTCTCCATTTTGGATAGAGTAAGGGAGGGTTATAACATCTGTCAGTTTTTTTGCCATCTGTGTCCCCTTGGGGAGATTTCCTGTCCCATAGCCAAAACAGGAAGTGGGAGGAAATCCCTCCAAAGAGATTAAATCTCTAATGATCCCCAGACCTACAGTAGTGTCCCCATTGGATGATTTCCCCTCTATTCCTGTTCTAGTGACAACCCAATGTTTGGGATTTACGTTCACTCTCGGAGATATTGGTAAACAGGACAATTAGAGAGGGGGAATCTCCCTAACGGGGACACATACAGCAATGAAATTCTGACGGGTTCTCCTCACTCTCTACTCCTTACAAAACTAAATAACTTTTGCCTATATTTTAATCACTACAAGTCTTTGCGTATTGCTAGTTACTCCCTAGTTCAGCAGGGGGCCCAGGGTGCTGGGGAGTTGTCCCTAATTACATACGTATAAAAGGGCACAGTGGCAAAAGAAAACGCTAATGATACTGAAATATAGTGGCACAAGAATATCTGTTGTAACCTAAAGCTTTGTATCCCCTGCAGCAACTGCGCATGTGCTGGCATAAGGGACAATAAGCAGAGCACTGAGCTAAGTCGCTTAACGCCTTACATGCCGGACTATAACACAGGCACTTTAATGGTCTGGATTCAGAAGCTCAGGCGCCATGACAGCCAAGCAGGGACACAGGCACGGGTCATCATTATTAACAGTGCCAATCCCCGGGGATACAGGATTTCACAGCAGCGGTAGCACTCCATGCCTCTAGTCCGGCTTGTAAGGAGTTAAGTGACTTCAGGTACCACTTTGGCTTTAGCTTGGCGCTCAGCTTGTTATCCCTGGTTTCGGCGTGTTATGCGCAGTTAATGCAGGGGATACAGATCTTCACGGGATATACATCTTCATGCTACACCGGAGCTTAATTTGGCTGCCCAGCATGCGCTTATATGCACTCTCACTCTAGCGTGCGCAGCGATATGTAACATGCATCGCAATTGTTTTTCTTGAAAAATTTATAGGGGGGGGGGGGGGGGGGTGTTACATGCTTGGGTGTAATTTGAATTAAAAAAAAAAAATGTACCTAATTTTTTTTTTTTTTATCACATAAGGGACAAAAGGTCTCCTATTTGATATTTGGTGACAGGTTCTCTTTTTTGAGACATGCAGCGTTTAAGAGACCCTGCATGTCCCCCCTGTGCTCCACTGAATGTAGTGTGCAGTGCACATTGCACTGTATTACATTTTTTCCTGGCCTCGATGGCTGGGAATCTGTCAACTGGGACCCAGAAGTGATGTTGCATCACTTCCGGGTCAGGACAAGAAGGGGAGCGGATGTGTCCACTCTCCCCCCTCTGCCGGTAGCCACTGACTGGTCCTGGGCCTGCATATGGTCAAGCGGAGCCCGGAAGACATAGCGGGCATACGGGGGGGGGGGGGGTTTGAAGTGGGAGACATAGTGGACTGTGTGGTTAAAATAAGAAAAACAAAAAACTATGGCATCGGGCGATATAAAATGAACATCCCTGTATTGCCAAAATTATTGGGACGCCCCTCCAAATCATTGGATTCAGGTGTTCCAATCACCTTCCTGGCCACAGGTGTATAAAATCAAGCACCTAGGCATGCAGACTGCTTCTACTAACATTTGTGAAAGAATGGGTCACTCTCAGGAGCTCAGTGAATTCAAGTGTGGTACTGTGATAGGCTTCCACGTGTGCAATAAGTCCATTTGTGAAATTTCCTTGATACTAATTATTCCACGGTCAACTGTTAGTGGTCTTATAGCAAAGTGGAAGCAACTGGGAACAATAGCAACTTGGCCACAAAGTGGTGGGCCATGTAAAATGACAAAGCAGGGTCAGCGCATGCTGACGCGCATAGTGCACAGAAGTCACCAACTGTCTGCAGAGTCAATAGATAAGACCTGTAAATTTCATGTGGCTTTTAGATTACCACAGAAGTGTGTAAAGAGTTTCATGGAATGGGTTTCCATGGCCTAGCAGCTGCATCCAAGCATTATATCACCCAGTGCAATGCACAGTGTCAGATGTAGTTATGTAAAGCACGCCGATACTGGAGACGTGTTCTCTGGAGTGATGAATCGTGCTTCGCTGTCTGGCAATCCGATGGACATGTCTGGATTTGGTGGTTGCCAGGAGAAACAGTACTTGCCTGACTGCATTGTGCCAAGTGTAAAGTTTGGTGGAGGGGGGATTATGGTGTGGGGTTGTGTTTCAGGGGTTCGGCTTGGCCCCTTAGTTCCAGTGAAGGGAACTCTTAAGGCGTCAGCATACCAAGACATTTTGGACAACTTCATGCTCCCAACTTTGTGGGAACAGTTTGGGGATGGCCCGTTCCTGTTCCAACATGACTGCACACCGATGCACAAAGCAAGGTCTATAAAGACTAGGATGAGTCAGTTTGGGGTGGAGGAACTTGACTGGCCTGCACAGAGTCCTGACCTCAACCTGATAGAACACCTTTGAGATGAATTAGAATAGAGACTGCGAGCCAGGCCTTCTCATCCGACATCAGTGCCTGACCTCACAAATGTGCTTCTGTAATAATGGTCAAACATTTGCATAGACACAGTCCTAAACCTTGTGGATAGCCTTCCCAAAAGAGTTGAAGCTGTTCTAGCTGCAAAGGGTGGGCCAAATTAATATTGAACCCTACGGACTAAGACTGGGATGCCATTAAAGTTCATGTGTGCGTAAAAGCAAGTTTCCCAATACTTTTGGCAATATAGTGTAGTTTAAGTTTAGAGGCAGGAAAAACCCTTCTGGTCTGCGTTTTTGATTGGCGCTTTTTGGCAGAAAAATGCTAAACTCGCCTAAACTGTGTACAAAAACACATGTTATGGACTCGAAGCTCAGGCTTACTGGGGCAAGACCAAATCTGTAAGAAATTTCCTACTTCTGATCTACACTTAGGGCAATACTTATTAGCTGTAGGGTAGAATAGAGACAGCTGCTGAGGGGAATAATAAACACGATGAAGAAATTTCAACTGGGTATATATCCTTAGCCGATATCATCTATCATCGAAGGAATGCATTGTTTTATATCTTCTCCCCAATCTTCATCTGTGAGATCAGGTTAATCCCCCTGACAAGTGTGATATAAACTGAGTGACTTTGGTCATCTCTAAAGAGAGGAGAGTATCCTGTCTGCATTTTTAAAAGTAAGAAAGCATTACACAAAGTGAGAGCAGGAGGGTGGCCACACTGCAGCTGCATATTCACTAGGTCCGGCCATTTGACGGTGATCCAGGACAGGAGCCATTTGCTGGCGGCAGGACGTGTAACCATTTTGCGGGGGACCTTTTTTTCCTATGCTATTGTATAGAAGCTGGCTGGGCAAGTTATTAGTGGCCATTTTAGTGGAAGTAGGCAACCTCATCTTTGATTTTTCCACTGCATCTGGCTGGTGCGGAACGGGACGCAGGGACTCCTTGGCACACTGGGATATGAGAGAATCGGCTGAGGAAACACGTGGGCAGGAATCAGTCTCCTCTGGGTGGCAAATGGTGAACCCTCCCTGGGGGTACCCTCCTCCCTTCTAGGGTTGGACTGGGGGTGTCTGTTCTTGTCCTTCCTCAATAGGGTCCTGTTTTTGTGGCAGTACCACCGGGTTGGCATTTCTCCTTATGGAGTCTTCAGATCCCCTTCTGGCGGAGGCCGGTCCCTTGGTCTTCTTAGTCTCATTAACATTCATCCTGGAGTCTCATCACCCAAATGGAGGTGGTGTTGGGACATAAGGCAAGTAGGAAATAGCCCCCGCTGTCGCCCCCTGATGACGCATACCCTGAGTCCTCGGATGAGAAGGACTGGTCCTCTGCCTCTGTTGTTGCGCAGGAGAAGGCTTTGGTGACTGCTCTGATTGCCTCTGTGCGAAAGATGCTAAAAACCCTAGGCTTTTGTTGGATCTGATGATGTGGCGCCTGTCCCCTTTGGGACGCACAAGCTGGTTAGGTCTGCTATGCTAAAGTTTTTCCTCACCCTGCTTATTTTGACAAATTTGTTTACAAGAAGTGGGAATGTCCGAAGTGACTCTTTATACTTCCTAAATGCTTTGCGGTAGGTTACCCCTTTTGAAGAGGTGCTTCTGAAGAAGTAGACCTCCCCTCCTGTGGTGGATCCTCCTACATTTCTAGGTTCAATAAGGCCACGGTGATCCCGGTGGAGGAATCTCCTTTCTTTAAGGATCCTGTGTACTGCAAAGTGGAGTCAGGAACACATTCTATGTTCAGTGTTGCTGGGTCAGCAATAAGACCAGTGTTTGCCACAGCTCTGGTGTCCCAGACGTTGACCAAATGGGCCAAGGTCCTACGTCAGGTGCTCCAACCGTATATGGGGCTGGCGAACCAGTTAGAACTACGTTTGTGATGCATCGCTTGATGCCGCTCTGCTTCTTAACTCTGTTTCAGCGGTGGTGCTGTGGCGCGTCCTTTGGCTCATGTGTTGGTCTGCTGACCAGACTTCTAAGAAGTTCTGACCACCTGGCTACCTTGGACTACATCATTAAATAAAATATGTAAACCTATCATTTCATATTCTTGATATGTGCCTGCTGTACCATGTACTTGTATGAAAAATGATCCTGTTCTCTTTGTGTTGTTTTGTCTCTGTGAAATCCCTGGTATTCCTGCTAGTCCTTCTGCTTTCCTATTAAAAACTGAGCACACTAGGCAGAAAACCTATACACAAATGCTTTCTCTTTTAAACTGAAAGGGTTGTTTTACAAAGTGAGGGTTTTAAGAATCTTACAGGTGGCAAGAGCACCTTCTTCCCTCAGGCCAAGAAAGGGAAGGAACCATGTCGAAAGTCTGATCCTGCCTTCATGTCTCATAAGCAGATTTTTTCGCTCCCTGAGTTCTGCAGACAAGGGCTCCAAACCCTTCAAGATCCCTGCAGGTAGTGCCAAGCGTCCCTTGTCCCAGAAGCATTCTAAGCCCACAGATAAGTTCTCTTCAACATGAAAGTTTGACCTCACCCAAATTAAGGATGAAGGGTTGCCTTCTTGGGGCCGTGGATCTCCCTTATTTCTGACAAGTGGGTCCGCAATCTAATTGTCTAGTAGACAGGAACAAAAGTTTATTTTGTACCTGTAGACAGATTCTTTCCCTCCAATCTTCGGCTCTTGCCAGAGGACCTGCAGGCCCTATACAGGGCTATGCAGGATCTGTTGTCTTGCAGATTGATTATTCTGGTACCCAAGTTGGAGCAGTTCCAAGGGTTTTACCCCAATCTGTTCATTTTCAAAAGTTCAGGATGTAATCCATTCGCTCTGTAATGGCTCCTTTTCATCATGGGGACTTCCTGGCCTCTATAGACATCAAGGAGACCTAACTGCACATTCGCATTTGAGGGATGCCAGCGTTTCTTGTGCTTTGCAAGATGGGACACACATTAACTGTTTGTGACCCTTCCCTCTTGGCTTAGCCTCTGCTCTTCGGGTGTTTACCAAAGGTTTTGGCCTTAGTCCTGGCCTTGTTACGACAGGAAGGGGTTGCCATGATAGGTTTCCTTGACGATCTGTTCCTCTGTGGCCTTGATGGAGAGTGTGGCGATCACCATACGTATCTCTCCCCCCCCCCCCCCCCCCCCCCCCCCCCCCCCCCCCACCCCCCCCCCTTCCCCCCCCTCTTTCATGTAGGACTTCGGTTGCATCCTGAACCACAGGAAATCTGCTTTGACTCCATCCCAATGTGTGGAGTATTTGGGCCTGGTCCTCAATTGTGATTAGGCCAAGGTGTTTCTTCAGTTCAGTGGCTCTTGACCATTCCTGCATTTTTCACATGCAGACTCTGGGTCTGATGGTGACTACCTTCAAAGCAGTCCTGTATGCCCAGTTCTACACGAGCACTCTGCAGAGGGAAATCCTGTCCAAGTTGGACAGGTCGCTGGCTTCTCTGAACAATCAGATTTGCCTGGACTGATCAAGGATTTCCTTCCTCTGGTGGCTGCGGTCTTTGTCCTTATGAGCCAGGAAGTCCTTTCTCCCACTTTGCTGGATTGTAGGCAGCCGGTTTGGGCTCAGGAGGAGTCACGAGTCTTCTGCACAAACTCAGTCAAAGGTTGCTGGTCTCCGGAGGTAGCTTGACTGCCCATCAGTGTTCTGAAGCTGTCCCTGGAGCGTTAGATGGATCTCTTCAGGAGGTCTCCCGTTCAGGATCCAATGCATCACACATACAGCTCAGTACACCCCATTTCATACATGTCAGTAAGTGCCTAAGAACATGTGAATGTGTGAGGAGTAATGCCTTATATGCGACATGTAGTCCTGGGCAGGAGAAGGAAGTGATTTAAAGTTTTACTTTTCTATAAGGGCACTCTATACTTTTATTTGCGACTTGCTATAAGGGCACTCTGAAGGCAGGAGAAGCTAGAAGTGCCAGTGGGGGACCCCATAAGAGAAGATCGGGCTTGCATTGTGCAAAACCATTAAAGAGTAGGTAAGCATAACATGTTTGTTTTTAGAAAAAAAAAATCCAACGTTTACAATCATTTTAAGGTTTCTGTGCAGGAAGATCAGCATCTGAACTCAGAGTTATGGAGGTCACTGTGCTCTTGGGAGTGCAGCAGAAATATTTGTAACCTTCCCTAGATTTGTGCATGCAATAATCCTATCTCTGAGCTCACTAGGCATTTAATTTGGCGTCATGGTTTCTGTTCTGATACAGTATGCACTGTGAGCAGTGAGGCCTTTTGTTGAGAGGTAATATATATTATACCTACGTTGCACCGTATAAATAAACACCTTTTTATAGCTTGATTATCTGTTTTTGTATTATAAAGGGCTATTTTTTATTTTTTTTTTTTTTTTTGACTCCATCATGGCAGATGATACAAAAATCATGCTGCTGTTACTAAATGTATTAGTGAGAGCAGGTGCAGGTAGCATGTATAAAGTTATGTGCCTATGACCAGGCAGTCTGTCATGCATATTACATTACAGTCCTGTCTGAAAATCTGCAGAATGGTGTTTTTTTTTTTTTTTAGGTTTTAATTCGATTAATCAAAACGATAATCTGACTGCTAATCGATTATGAAAATAATTTTTATTTGCTGCCCTGCTACTATGATTAATCTCATGAATACGTGGACAAACTTATTCCATGGACTTCAGGCACTGCTTCGGTCAATTGCTCTGTCAAACTGCAGTGAGCAAGTTCCTGACTGTGACCCACCTCCTCCTCCTTCATTGGGAACGGTTGTTTCATGGTGTACTCTGCGTATAACACAATCTTTGAATGGGGGAAAGAATCCTGTGAATCATCAGACTCCCCGAGCGCTCCCCCACCCTGTTTAGAGATCATGTTACATGCAGTGTACACTGTAAAACCCTTTTAAAACCCTAATAAACACTTTAGTTTAAAAAAAAAAAAAAAATGTATTTTCGGTTTTAAGAAAGTTACTTTATTTTTCCACTTCTCGTTGAGACCCTACCAGTTTGCTTTCCAGTGTAGGGCTCAGAATTGGCTAAATTCTCAGATAAGCCTTCCTTTGCACGAAGGAGTGCCAGAGTGGTGGGACATTTGTTAACCTTTACAGATACTTAGATTGCAGAAATTCGTGTGCACAGAGTGGCATCCCAGGTCTACAACCTAAAGTTTTTTCTCCCTGCCCCCTTTTTGGTGTCTTGCCTCCAAACTCACTGCTCCACTGTATAGATTTGCAGATCGCCACTGAGCCCTCTTTGGTCTTCAGGATCAAGGTACCCTTGCCCTGGTTCCTGTGGCAGAAGGATTTCAGGTTTTTTTTTTTCTTTTTTTTTTTACTCCAGCTTTTTCCTGTTTCCGTCCCCGAAGAGGGAATTTGCTCCATCTTGGATCCCAAAGTTCTGAAAGTCTTTATTTTGATCTAGAAATTACATAGTCCACCAAACCTATCATGGTCTCCCCTCCTCAGGCAGTCTCTTTGGCTTCTGTGTACATCAATGATGTGTACCTACATGTAGCCAACTGTCCAGCACATCTTCATTTCTACATTTTGCTGTGGTGCCCCTGCACTTACTGTTCGTGGATGTTCAGGAATGTGCAGTCCATGTATAAGCCCTACTGCATTCTAGTGACCTCTTTTGTGTGGGATTCTTAGATGACCTCCAGTTAAGGGAAGTCAGTGCATTTTTTGTTTGGACTGTAGCTTTGACTGCCCATTACTAAGTGGTTTAGATGGAAGTCATTGCTGGAACTGACTCATCATTTGAAGTACAGCCGTACCTCGGATTAAGAATTTAATGCATTCTCCAGGACGTTTCGTGTTGTGAAATATCCGTGAAATCTAAATGCTGTTCTCATAGGAATGCATTGAAAACCAATTGATCCGTTCTGAAGGTCAGAAAAAAGTAAAAAAAAAAAAAGCTGATCTATTCAAAACTCTTTATAAAGTGCACTTTAAAGGCACGGGCCTGGTGCTATAAACCTCCCAGGCGCAATGCATCCTGGGGAAACTTGCTTCATATTGCGAAAAAAATTTGTAAAGCGAGGCATTATTTTCAATGGACTTTCATTCGTAAACTGAAAATTACGTTAACCGAGGGGTTCGTAAACCGACGTACACCTGTATTTGGGTCTAGTCCCAGATATAGCTCAGGCCAAAGTGTTTCTTCAATTAGAAAAAGTTCAGACTCTCTGGTCTCAGACTCAAGCTTTGCAGTTCTGGAGTCATCCAACCCTCTGTTTTTGGATTTGGGGCCTGTTGGCCGTCTCCTTCGAGGCAGTTCTATTTGTCCAGTGTCACTCCAAATCCTACAATGCAACATTCTGTCTTCATGAGACAAGTTGATCTGGTCCCTGGATGGATTGATTTCAGGGTGTCTCAGGCTTGGTGGATCAGGAATCTGGCTCTATTTAATGCTTACTTCCTATTTTTTTTTGAAGGGACATTCTGATAGATGCCAGCCTTTGTTGGTGCAGAGGTCTTGGTTGTTGAAGAGTCTTGTTTCTCAATCTGCACCCTGGGTGTGCAGGAGATTTGACTGTCTGAGTTCTTGTAGATGCTGAATGAGTTCTGATGGATTGTCGGGATCTTCTGTCCCAAGGAGCAATTTTACCATCCCTTCTCATGGTCACTGGCTTTAGTGACATGGCTGTTGGAACTCTGGTTCCATGGGAGAGAGTCATATCTGAGATTTCTATGATGCTGAAAGCTAGAAAGGCTGCTCACTGCAAGGTAAATCATTGGAGTTGAAAGGCATATTAAACTTGGTGGGAGTCTCAGGCTAATGCTGTGGGAGTTTCCACATGTTACAGCTGGGTCTGGACCGACATTTGGCTCTTTTCTTTTTCAAAGGTCAGGTTTCAACCCTTTCTGTTCTTCCCCTATCACCTCCCCCCAGTCATCTTTCAAGACCGTACCATTCAAGTGGTGGTGGAGAAATCAGATGAACCTCTCAGGAGGGTTGTTGTGGGCCTTTCCAGTATTCAGAAGACTGACAATGGATTCCAGCGCCTGGGGCTGGCAAGCTCATTTAGATCAGGAAATGACATAGGGTACCTGATCAAAGGATTTTGAAAGGTCCTCCAGCTGGAGCGAATTAAAGGCGCTCTCTCTAGCTCTATCTGCATTTTTGGACCTTAGGGTCACCCCATGCAGGTGTTCTCAATACAACAGCAGTGGCTTATGTCAACAAGCAGGGGCACCAGTTGCAGCTAATAGCAAAGGAAGTTCTTTCCTTATCAAAAAGGCACCTGACATCCTGTTAGCAGGGCATCTGCAGGACATTCTCAATCATGTGGCAGACTTTCTAAGCAGTCATTGAGTTCAGGAGGCAGAATGGACCCCAGATCGGGACGTGTTTTCACAATTAAGGGCAGATACTGTAGGTATGTCTGCAGGTGGCCTTTTTTTTTTTTTTTTTTTTTTTTAAGAATCGGGAGAATGCAAAGGTGTAATTTTTCTTTAAAATTTCAACTCTACTATGCCTTTCCCCCATTCCTACTTCAATCCTCAGGTCCTAAAGCTTCAGAGAGGATATAAGTTATTTTTATTGTCCCTTTTTGGCCCAAAAGGCCTTAGTTCTTTACACTTTTCACCTTATCAGTGAAGCCTTTTTGATCACTTCCCTTTAGAAAGGACTTACCACTTTGACACGAAGGGGGTCAGCAGTTTAAGGCTAACAGCCAGGTTTCTGAGAAGCAGTTGCTGGAAAGCATAGGTCTTTTGGATAACCAATTTCCACATTACCAGATCACAAGAAGGTGACCACAGCCAATTATGGCAAGATATGGAAGGTATTCAACTCATGGTGGAGTTTTAATAGTAAAGTTGAAGAGATCTCTTTACAGTAGTTTGGGCATTTTCCGTACCATATAATATTACCAGTTCTGATTTGTGATGTCACTTTATCAAAGGGAGGTCACATGATGAAATGCATCTGGGTGGGGCAACGTGACATCATAATGTCGGGAGCTGGAAGTAAGTCGATGTGCTTGCATATACACTGAAGTCGATGCTAATACTTAAGGTTGCAATACCATATTGTTAAGTGCTGTATTCTATGTACACTGTGTTTTGTGAGTGGTTTTTAATTATATTGATGTTTTATATGGATTGCTGCACTAAGAGAAGCTGTTTTATTTTTTTGGAGTGACTGTTGGTAGGAGAGCTGACTGGAGAGGGAGGATTGCTAACTATCTATTGATAAGTTTGAATCTTCTGGATTGACCACCAGCCCGGGTATAAGGGCAAAGTGCATATTGATCCTACCCAGATGTAGGTCATATACATAGATAAGAGATTTGCACAGCAAGTGGTGGTGGACACAAATTGCTGAATGAAGGAGGAATTTCACATTGATTTTGATTAAATTTATTTTGGTGGAATAATACTGCCAGTTACTCTGATTATTTTCACTTGCTTTTGGGTGATATACTGACATTTTGAATAATCACACAGACACTTTTGGGTGATACGCAAATTAAATTTAGTTAACCACTTGCCTACTGGGCACTTATACCACCTTCCTGCCCAGGCCAATTTTCAGCTTTCAGTGCTGTCACACTTTGAATGACAATTGTGCGGTCATGCAACACTGTACCCATATGAAATGTTTATCATTTTTTTGAGACCGATAGAGCTTTCTTTTGGTGGTATTTAATTGCCTCCTGGGTTTTTTATTTTTTGCCAAACAAACCAAAAACAACTGAAAATTTAGAAAGTTTTTTTTTCTTTTTTTGTTTTAAAATTTTGTAAATAAGTGATTTTTTCTCCTTCACTGATATGCGCTAATGAGGCTGCAGTGATGGGCACTGATGAGGAGGCACTGGTAGGTGGCACTGATGGGCATTGACAGGCATCACTGCTGGGCACTGAAAGGCAGCACTCATATGGCATTAGGTGGCAATGTTGGCACTGACTGGCACTGATAGGCGGCACTGACTGGCACTGATAGGCAGCACTGATTGACAGCACTGATAGGTGGCACTGAAAGCAGCACAGATGAGCACTGATATGTGGCATTGATGTGCACTGGTAGGCACTGATATGTGGCACTGATGGGCACTGGCAGGTGGCACGGATGAGCACTGACAGCTGGCATTGATGGACACTGACAGGTGGCACTGCTGGGGCTACACTGATCATCAGGGCTCGCTGATCAACAGTGCCCTGATGATCAGTGCACATGTCCCCTCCGAGGAATACCGATTACTGGCTCTCCTCTCGAGCTGTCAGCGTGACAGGTGCGTTTTAATCCCCCCAACCCCCCCTTATATAAGTTTTGCATTGGAAATGGTGAGAGCGGGTGAAGTAGTAATTTTGTTGTGTCTGAGAGTGTTATGTATGTAACCTATCTGTCTTGCAAGCCAGCTATCCTTGCAGTTTAGTATGAGTTCTTATGCTGTGCAGAAGATGGCTGTGAAACTTATAAATTGCCCCATCCATTCTAAGAGAAAATCTGTCAAAGGGAATTGTGTTGTTGCATGACAACTCCCGCCCCCACACTGCAGCCCAAACATTGGAAACCCTCAGACAATTTAAGTGGGTGGTTATGAAACACCCAGGTTAGGCCCTTTTCACAATGACGGTCCCAATCGCACCATCCATAGACCTCCATGGACCAGAGGGTGTCGGTGAACAAGTGTCCACTGGCATCTGATCTTGTATGCCAAAAACAGATTGTTTGGGATCCGTTCCCCAATCCGTCCAGTGGATCAGATGACAGTCAAGTGAAAACGGACAAGCGGTCTGTTTCCATCCAACCGCCCCGTAGGAAAAAGCAGGCTGTGTCTGTGTGCGCTCTGCAGCAGCAAAGTGGATTCATACTTGTCATCCGCCAGCTCAACGGGGGAACAGTGGAGAGATCCCCCACTGAGCAGGCAGATCTGCTGATGGGTCCACCCCGTCTGAAAGGGGCCTTATAGTCCGGATTTAGTGCCATCTGATTGCCACCTTTTTGATCGTCCAAAGGAGCTTTTAAAGGGAAGAAGATTTTCATGTGAAGATGATGTGAAAGAAGCATTGTATCAGTGGCTACACACTCAACCACAAACATTTTTTTTTTTTTTTTTTGGCCGATGTATTAAAAAGTTGGTACAACACTTGGAAAAATGCATTTCAAAGGAAGGTGGCTATGTAGAAAAGTGATGTCATTTGTTTTGAAATTCTTAATTGGAAAAAAAAATAAAAAATTAAATGCGCAAAACCTTTCGAAGACCGTGTGTGTGTATGTGTGTGTGTGTATATGTATATGTGTGTGTGTGTGTGTGTGTGTGTGTGTGTGTGTATATATATATATATATAAATATAGTGTGTGTGTATATGTACAGTGGGGATCGAAAGTTTTGGGCACCCAGCTAAAAATTTGTATTAACTCTGCAGGGTGCCCAAACTTTTGCAGACGCCATTTTTTTTTTTTCTGTTATTTTGAAAGTGTAAATGATGGAAATAAAATCTAACTTTTGTTGACATATTCTAACAATGTCTAATCTGTAATTTGATGCCTTTTGGAGATTTTTCCATCTTTCCTTGGCTTCTTTATGCACATTAATACAAATTTTTAGCTGGGGTGCCCAAACTTTCGATCCCCACTGTACATATACACACACACACACATACACTATATATATATATATATATATATATAAATATATATATATATATATATACACATATACACACACACAACACACATATATATGTACCCACAACTCCAGTGTCTGCCAGATCTTTCTGGAGGGATCGTGCAGTCAAACGTGGGTTTTGAATTGTTTTTTCTCACAATCCTGCAAGCTGTCCTGTCTGATATTGTTCTTGGTCTTCCAGATGTTGCTTTAACTTCCACTGTTCCTAATGACTGCCATTTCTTAATTACATTCCGAACAGAGGATATTGACATCTGAAAAACGCTTTGCTATCTTCTTATAGCCTTCTCTAGCTTTGTGAGCATCAACTATTTTCAGTTTCAGTTTTCTAGACAACTGCTTAGAAGAACCCATGGTGCCGATTGTTGGGGCAAGGTCAGATGAGTCTGGGCATTTAAAACCTTTGAGATTGACATCACCTGGTCTTCCCAGACGATGATTGAGAACAATCCATGACACTGGCAGGTCTCAGCTTTGCAAAGGGGGCAGTGCATGCTAATAAATTCTGCAGGTGCCCAAACTTTTGCAGACGCCATTTTTTTGTTTTCTGTTATTTTGAAAGTGTAAATGATGGAAATAAAATCTAACTTTTGTTGACATATTCTAACAATGTCTAATCTGTATTTGATGCCTTTTGGAGATTTTTCCATCTTTCCTTGGCTTCTTTATGCACATTAATACAAATTTTTTTTTAAGCTGGGGTGCCCAAACTTTTGATCCCCACTTTGTATGTATATGTATGTATGTATGTATAATATATATATATGTATGTATGTGTGGTGTGTGTGTTTATATATATATATATGTGTGTGTATGTGTGTATGTGTATATATATATATGTGTGTGTTGTTGTGTATATATATGTTAATGTATAGTGTATATGTTTATGTGTATATATATGTATGTGTGTGTGTGTGTGTGTGTATATATATATATATATATTATATATGTGTGTGTTGTGTGTGTGTGTGTATAAATTATATGTGTGTGTGTGTATATTATATATATATATATATATATGTGTGTGTATATATATATGTTGTGTGTGTGTGTGGTGTGTGATGTGTGTTTATTTATATATTATATTATATTTATTATATTATATATTATATATATTTGTGTTGTGTGTGTGTGGATCCGTGTGTGTGTGTGTGGTGTGTGTGTGTATATATATATATTTTTTTTTTTTTGGGGATTTGTTTTGCACATATTTGTATGAAAGAAGCAGTGAGGTTTACTCATAACTAGTCATGTAAATGTTACATTACATCGATTGTCTGAATATATCGATTGATTTGTTTCCCTGCACTTTTTTATTATTAATATTTTAGTCCCTAGTTTTTTCTGTTGTGATTAGGAGATTTTTTTTTTTTTCTCTGGGCTGCATTTGGAAGTCCCAACAGTCTAACGATTCATGTGTACTGTAATAGCCAAGAAAGAAAAACTGGGGTTTTTGTACCCAATGTAAAATCCTCCATTTTGTGTATGGTGTGTGTTTTTTTTGTTTTTTTTCTCTTTTAGGTGGTAGTGTAACCGGAAGGTTAGACTTCCTGTGTCAGGATTTTACAGAGAGTTGCAAACAGTGCTGTTTCTTTGACATCTTCATATTTTTATTTTTAAATATTAAACATTTAAAAAAAAAATGTTGGGATTGTAGAGTTTTTTAATGAGCGATGATCATCCATTTTAGTTTTACAGAAAAACCCTGCCATCAATATGTGGAATGATATTGAAATTTTAGCAAATGATGACACTGGAAGCTGTCGTTTGAACATTGATTCACGGCAAGAAAGTGGCACGGCATTATATCAAGTTGACACGCTACTTAAAATTTCATCAACTGAAAAGGTATGACTCTTCATTTAACAGGCACATAGAATATCAAATTTAAACATTTTTGTCACACTTGTTTATTGTAAATAGATGCACTCTAGTGAGTAACTGGGAAATTCAACATGCAGGTGTACCTCTGTTTACGAACGCCTTGGTTAATGTAATTTTCGTTTTTACGAATGAAACTCCATTCAAAATAAATGCCTCGGTTTATGAATTTTTTACAATACAAAGTGTATGTCTGTGCGGATTTTTTTAAATGCAATTTCCAGCTTTTTTTTTTCTCCACTATCGCTCACAGAATTGGCTGTCATTTTCCCCGGAGCTAAAGGATACTTCGTTTTTTATCTCCTGGAAACAAACTTAAAGGAAACATTGTTTCTCTTAACTCAGAGAGAAATAAAACTGAAAGGAAACTTTCTTTTAGATGGGGGGGGGGGGGGGGGGGAGTGAGATAGTGACAGCTGATTCTCTGAGCTATAGTGAAAAAAAAAAAGCCGGTAATTACATTTAAAAACTAGCACTGACCTATAGTGATGGCGACTTTTTTAAAAAAAAATGCTCTAACCTACGGAACGGATTAATTGTTTTCAATGCATTCCTATGGGAAACCTCGTTTTCAGTTTAAAAAAAATTTTCACAATACGAAACGTCCCAGAGAATGCATTAAATTTCGTAAACCGAGGTACACCTGTTACTTAAGCTGGCCATACATGGAGCAAATGTATGTTTTTCTGCGGCACTGTAGATTTGCCCATCTGCTGCACTGTTTATTGTGGATGGGGGAAATCTAACAGTGTAATTCTCCCTTAAATTTCTACCTCTTTTTTTTTGGATTAATTAGTGTTGCTAAAGTCTTTATTTGTTTCAATTAAAATAACAAACCTGTTATACTCACCTGCTCTTTGCAGTGGTAATTGCACAGACCGGCCCTGATCCTCCTCTTCTTTAACCACCCTGCAACTACAGAAAAACCTGTTGATTTATAAATATAGTGTGCTCCTACCTTCCTCTTTGACGTGGCAACAGTAATATATTTTGGCTTTAGATGTCATCTTCAATTCTGATCTATTATAAAGAAATTGGACCTCTCCTTCCACAGAGAGCACAGGAAGTTATCTATTACAAGATTTCTGGCAAAATCAACAAGTGTTTTTTTGCACTTATCAAAGAGCAATAAACAAAAAATGTTGGTGTATTTAACAAACCAAAAGTGAACAAAATAAGAGAAGTTCACTGTTAAGGGATAGGTTCACCTTTGGAGCATGTTCCACCTGTTTTTAGGGTGGAACATGTAACATGTTCCCGTAGCTGCAGACGTTGACCGCCACCCCCCTCTCTCTCTCTCTCTGACAGATTGTACGGGAAGAAGTTTCCCCATACTAGTTATCAGATTGGAAAACAGTGCGGCCATCTGGGGCTCCTCCCCACACGGCCGCGTCATTCTTTCATGCAACCTCGTGATTGAATGAAAACTGCAAGTCCCGACAGCCTTAGTGACTGTGGGTTTGTAGTTTTCAATGAAATAACCGCAGCACATGGTAGTTCATTGAAGCTTCTTGTCAGTATATCTGCTTGACCGTACATCCCGTACG